TAAATTGTATTGACGGAATAATTCTTTGTGCCTTGTAGCTTGTTTACGAATTGGCTAAAAAGGAGAATTTTTTGCACCAGCAAAAATATTTTAGGTAATGGAGTAGAAAGAGCACAACACAACCTAATCTTAAATTTCATTTCATGTGAAAGCTTGGGAAAATTCCGGATTTTATGGTAAGATCTTAGGTGTAATGCGTAGGCATACTTACGACCTAAATCATATAATAATATCCAAGAATTTACATAAAGCCTGTATAAAATCTACATATTGTTAAAAGGCCGAACGCAACGAGAGAAAGAGATATAACTTGGATTAAAATTTATCCGAGTTTTATTCAAAATTATCTCATCCGCCCGCCAAATTCTCTTATCCTCCTTTACATTGTTCGTTACACAAAAAAAGGGCTGCAAAAGAGTTTCGTTTCGAAGAAATATCGCTTAATTAAATCGATGATACAAAAATCGATATCGAAAGTCGTATATCATGGAAACAAATAATCCGGAATAGTATATTATTGCTTTTTATGTGACAGTTTTATCGAATTCTGCGGAAATATCGCGAAAAAGGGAGAAACGATGCAGGTGGCAAAATACGAAAAGATGGAAATTTCATGTCGGAACATCCCTAAATGCGATACAACTCGCTTCGAATTCTCGAATATGTCCCAAACATTATTATTTATTCGCCATAAATTTATCAATAAAATGCTGCGCACGAATAAGTTAACAACACAATTGACCCGATTTCCTTACCTACAGATCTTGCATTCGTGCCAGCAAAGAATAGAGGTAAAAATTCACCAATTCGTGGTATTTTTTGCGAGTCTGTGATAAACAAAAAGTGTCTTTTCACAGCACAGCGAAAAGGAAAATCGCTTGCGTGCGTCCCGGAAAAAATCCATTGTGCCGGATTCGAATTTAACTAGCATCCCTTCTACCGCCCTATAAAACGGAGAAAATTGGGGTGTAACATAATCGTTGGCATTCCCGCAGGGCCACTACCTTTTTTTCTATAATCTAATCCTTAACCGGCGGCCGAAGGGATGAAATCTCGCATTACGGGGTCATCACTTTGTTTCCTCGAAACCCCTCCGGACGCTTTGTCAGTTGTCAATGGCCGACTGCACTCGATATAATAAAAGGGAATAGCCGAGATAATGCCTAATTTATCGGAGCTTCGTATATCTTAAGAATGCTTATATTCAAAAAAATAAAAATGGTGTATACTAAACAAGAAATGGGATGTAATAAACTTCATAGCCCGGGGAAGCGATTCCAAAGGGTGGATGCAATCGAGTTATACTATGTAGTTATTATGAAAAGTGTGAAGTTAAAAATTGCGGCAGTTTTTCAACGACGAAAACTTATCTCTGGCAGCGAACTTAGAGGGGAGATAGGGATGATGGACGAATGCTGACTAGATAAAGGGATGCGTTCGTTGGAAAGTTTATTATTTCGACGGAAATCCTAGCCTGTAGCTATCCGTAAAGGCGAGGAAGTGGATTATAGGGATACATTTAAGGGATCAGCTCAACGTCCTGTTATCGCGACGGAGTCGTTTTAGTAATGCATCAGATTTGTAATAAATTATTTTTCGGGTTTCTCGATGTGTCGCTTTTTTCGATGCGGAGATGGGGAATCAAATTCGCGAATAATTCGGTTTCTTGTTCGTTCGAGAAAAGTTAGTGAAATTCGTGAGGGAAGTAAAACAAGGAAGCCAACTTTCCAGCCGTTGTCTGAGTTTTGAACCCCTCCGTTTCTTTAATGGACTTTCGCCGTGGAATCCTAACGAAATGAGTCGAAATTTTCTCGTTTCCAGTCGAAAAGTAGCTTGTTCGCAAAGCGTCTGTGGAGTAGATATAAGTGAATGTTTTGTGCGAAAAAGTTGGTATGGCAAATTTTTTATTATAGCACCGAAGTGTATTTTCTTTGTGATATATCTATCCAATTATATGCTACTTGCTGACCGGTGAGATATATCGAATTTCACGGGTCAAGAGCGATTTTTAATGGCGAGTGGAGTTGAGGATTTTTGCGAAATTATCGCCGAAGATGATGCAGTTCAACGGGCGTGATTAATTCGAACGCGGAGATCTCGAGTTTATTTCGGAACGGAGCAAATAAACTAGATTAAGGGCGAAATCGAAGTTGACTTTTTATGTTCAGGTTATCGAATATTACGCGCCTCGCTGGAAATTTTATCAACTCGAATTTTTTCAAATGCGCCGAAGGAAATCTATTCATTTTTTCGCGAATTCCATTGAATTACTGCGAACGCTCACGAAATTTTAATACTCGCCCCGATTTCGAAATAAAAAAACAACAAAAGGCGCTTTTGTATCTGGTTAATTTCATCGACCCTCCCGGCCTAATGATAAAATCGAATTAGCCCCAACTTTTCGTCGGTTCGTTGTAAAACAGGTGAACTTTTAATTCGCCTCCTTTTCGGAAATATTATTGTTTTCTCGGCACGTCTAATACAATATTTTTGTGATAATAAAAACGGAAAGAGAGATAAAGGACGGATGAACAGAAACTTTCCGGGCCCACTGTCTCCATTTCGACCTCGAAAATGAAGAATCTGGAATCGCTTTGTTTACCACAGTAAAACCGCCATTGTTGATTTCATATAAAAGAGAATAAATCTGCCTTTTTACTCACTTTTCAAAAATAAACTCATTTTAGTACCTACGGCATCAAAGATTCACAATTTAAAAGGTGAACTTCACAAATTTATTTAAGTAAATAAACAATTTTGTCTATTATTAAATTTTATGTGCATTTAAATTTGTTTGTTTTGGACGAGTTGTTGTAGGTATCATTTTTTTAACTTTATGATGCCAGTAACAGGTAAAATACTTGCCTATCTTATTTTTACATCGCGTGTAAACGCTTTTATTTTCCGATCGAATCGATAAAACTGCCCAGAAATTTCGGTTTTACAAGCGATTTGCGAATAAACAGGATATCCCGGTAGTGCATATAATAAAGTACCGTCCTAAAATCTTGGGTAAAGTGAGATATACGACCAGGAGATGGAATAGAAATCGCAAAGAAAACCTTTTTTTCCGAACTTGGTCATCTTGTATGCATATCGGTCGGGCGATTTTCCACTGGCGTAGGTGCAAAAAAATAGTTTTGTTATTTCTACAAAAGTATTTTGTTTATACGGGGATTGTAATTAACAATAAACTCATTAAAACTGATGCTCCCCCGTTGTTAATATTTAAATTTGAAGCCCATCCCTCGTGTCTTGTGGATATTTCGACCCCCGCTAGAGCAACGTGTAATCTTAGCCCTTATAATTTATATCCGTTAGGGCGGTCGTAAGTCAAAAACCCCGAAATTTTCGTATGCACACGTGAAATACATCCTTAATAAATCTCCACCCTTTCGAGTCAAGAAAACCTTAATCATACATAATTCACATGATTAAGCGATGACCTATTTCGCTTATTAAAACACGTTTATCTAAGTCATCGAGCCGTTTTCCGCGTTGGCAATTAAACGTAGGAGTGTATGATGACAAATAGTATGACACAACTTATACAGTGTGTCCCATTAAACTTTTCTTACTTCCTTTCGAGAGGATGGGTATAAAATTATCAAGGGGACACGGCGAACTCGTCCGTTGCATTCTAAACCGGTTTTCCGCGGCGTCCCTTAAGGGATGCCAATGTTCGCGTGACCTACATGCAGACGCCGGGCCTAGCCTCGGCTGAGTCCTGTGACCCCGTTATCGATCTCGCCTAGTTCAGGGACGGACGGGCGTCGCCGTCGAGCTTCCGTCCCGACGCCTAAACCGCCTCGACTCGCCCGAACTCGTCGAGTAATTCGAAATACCGGGCGCCGAATCGAAGACTAGTTTATTTTTTTCCTTCGTAGTTCTCGAGGCGAATTTTCGTCTGTTGACCTGGAAAAAGGATAATGCCGGGATATGGAGATGTATATAGGCGATGGGAATTTGAAAGGATACCTCGAGCAACAGCGCTCGCCTTTTTATACGAATGTAACTGGGGCGAAACGGCTTCTGTATAGCTTGTAATAAAAGGTAGATGTCTACAATAAAAAAAGGAGCCTTTCTACGTATGTATGTATGGAAATTAATGAACTGTGCATCAGTGTAATCTGATTATACCGCCCTCTGTCATCCCTACAATTGGGTTTAATTTCCGCTGAGAGCCGTATATCAAACGCTAATTATTTCAAAACAGTGCTCTTGCGGTGCAACACAAACTCAATTACCCAAATGAAAGCGCTTCCAATTTGGCTTCGTTGTAATTCTTTTATGAATCGCTTTAAATATTTTGTATCCGCCGCTCGCGGTGCCTGATGTAGAGCAAAACGCGTTTATATGGAGAATTACTCCATTCGTCAAAATAGCTGAAATAATTTTTTTAATCTACCAGTTTTAAATGAGCTCTTTCCATTCATTGTAACAGTTTTAAGAGCGTTACTAAAGATTTATGTGATGCATTGGAAATGGCCAGTAAAACGGTTTAAGTGAATACTTATGTTATTTTTATGAGAAAATTAAATTTTGTTACCTGAAACAATATGGTTTTTACTTCATAATTATGCACTAAAAATGTACCTGTTACGTTATTTCCAATAACGTCCACCTCTAGTTTAATACAATAGGTCGTATTTATAAAAAAGAAGTATAACCTTTTGCTTCAAAAAATAAAGGAATTGTTTCACGTGAGAAAAAAGAAGCTGAAGGTTGCTTCAAGCTGCTTCATGCCTAAAACGAAGAAAATGAAGAGAGGTTTTGCTTCGAGGACTTTGCTTTGGCTTTAAAGCAAAAGGTTTTATGGTTTTAAAACCTGTTTCTCTTATCTTTTGCCTCTACCTTTTACTTCAAAGTAAATGCTTCATTTTTATAAATATGGACTATCATATCCTATCAATTAGATTATTAAGATGCGTTAGAGGTGGACAGTGCAAAATGTAACGGTTATCAATAACATTATAAATTATTATTTATGTTTGTTGCAGCGGTATCGAAAGAGGAGGCGGAAGAACATAATCACCACGGCAAGCTACCTTATAATGGCTACAGCGAAGAGTTCCTAGATCGATTAGAACCTAATGGAAATATACCTGCCGGGAAAGTTAGATACGGTAAGTTAACGTTATGCTCTTAAGACGTGATTAGGTTCGTGATCTTTACGTTAATAATTTTTTTCGGTTCATGCAAACAAACGATATAATTTAGAGTGTTATCGGTTTTACCTCTAAATACGTTCGCAGGGAATGTATTAGCTGGGAAACCTCAAACGAGAATTCCTCGTCTAATGCACTGCTGTAATTCGGTCTTGTTTATTAACCCCGAAATCCCATCGTGAGATCCTTTAAATGCCTGCCGTAATTTGTGTAACTAAATACTTTATGTATTCAATGGGGCGACGAATTTCTCTTCGCGTTATATCGATTCCGTAAAATTCGTGTAAAATTATACGCTTCCTCATATTACCATATCGATTCGATACAATGGAATCGCTTATTACGGAGCGTTTTTAAAGAGTACCTAATTAACTATTTATTTATCCTATTTCTCTCGTCATGAATAAGGAAATAAGCGCCTACCGCTGTATACGGCTATTTATATGTTTTTTTTTTCGTCTGAACCGTCAATTCATGAATTACTTATATGCCCGGACGTTTCTTACGGATGCATGTATACGATCCGCATTAATGGAAGTCGCAGGAAAGCTGGAATAAGAATAGATAAATATCAAAGTCGAGTCTAATCCTTTGAGATTTTTCTCGTCGCGATCCTTCGCTCCCTAGGCCTCTACTACTATTTATTAAATAATGTTTAATATAAGACTTTTACTTGCCGGTATATCGCCAAGTAGTTATCGATTGATTGTATAAAATTTGTAGGTGATGTTTTGCGCCCGGACTATATTTCGTTTTGCTCTAGAATTTCCTACTTTTTGCTGTATAGGTGGCCGGAAGGCTCGGTTTGGAGTTCATCTCGGAAGTTGCCGGAGTTGTAGGTATTTCTATCCCCCGGACGACGTGAAATATAAATGCAAAATAGGAGCGTAAAATTGAATTCGAGTCCGTTTTGTCTAGTATATAGTAGTAGTGAGCAGTCATCGGTGTTTGCCGTAAAATTTGAGTGCCTATTTTGGATTTCCGAACGCGAAAGTATTATGTTTTCTATTTAGGGTCGTGCATGCGGCAGATGGGGGGCCGGGGGAAATTTCTACCGTAAAAATGGTGAAGGAGATTTTATTTTACATAGTGTTATAGTATGGCCAAACTCAGGATACATTAAAATTTTATCTACTTTCTTCTTTTTTAAACTTCATAATTCGAAATCCAAAATTCCCCTCTTTTCATACATATTATTGACATTAATGACAGTTGATATGATATATCATTTGAAGTATATATCATTTGAATGATATATGGCCTTTTACCTAGCCTTACATTATTAATATTGGATGTATTTCATTGAAATACTCTCTGTAAATTTCAGTAGGTGTTTCTGATAATTATATTTTTATTTTTTTCGTTTAAGCGTTTTTTTATGAACGTTTTCTCTCATTTAATTCTTCCCCTTCATTTAAAAGAGTTTCGTGAGGCGCGCGGAAAGTAAATTTCCCTCTAATCAGCCGAGAAACCTTCTAAAAAAAAATTCCTCAAATTGAATATAAAATTACAATAACGACGGGATTACGTATCGGAAAATTTCGAATTTTCCCAGCCTGATTTGTATACAAACAACCTTAATTATATACGAGTACAGTCGATTTAAAAGTATAATTAGAAAATAAATCGTATACATAATTTTTTCTCCCATTTTTTTTAAATGATTTAAGGCCTGTACTGTTAAATTTTCCTTCGTCTTGGAAGTACTTTTAATTCGCTGCGACTCCATCGTGTCGAAATTAGTAGCACTTGAAGTTTTAATAATCTCTCGAATAATGTAATACCTTCATTTGAATTCCGCGGCGAGCCGGGCGAGAGTCCTCCGTTTTATTTATAGGGCGCGGATTTTCCGAAAACGTGGCGCCCGATGCCGTTTAACCGACTCGTAAAAGGCCATTAAATTATTTTAAATACCGGCAATATTCCTTTATTGTTTTGAATGAATTATATCAACGACTTATATAGGATGAATTTTATGACGAAGAATTTGTTGTGTTCCAAAAATGTGTAAATTGTTTCTCCGTTTTTCTAGGAGAATTTTCGACTTTCAGTCAAAAGGAAGAAATGGGGTCTATGCGGAGCGCACAATCAGCTGGTAAATTAATTTATTTTTTTTTCTTCAAATTTCTTTTCGTATCTTCTTAGAATTAAGCCAGATAAGCATCACAAATAAATGCTGAAATAAACAAATAAACTCTTAAATTACAAAATAATTATTAAAACTGTTTGGATTGTAAATAACTTGTTCATAATTTATTTAACGTGAAATTACTGCTTCAATTATACAAGGTGTGTTTAATAATTATGTGAAAAGTTTTTTTTTAAATAAGGCAAATATTTGTGAATTAATTATTACACGTCTGGCGTAGTTTGCACAATTTCTTTTTATTACCTATTATACTAGTTAAATTTGCTTAAATGCACTTGTGATTAAAAATATACATTTCATTTGCTAATCCCAAAGAATATGTTCTTTCCCACACAAAATATTCCAGCTAATTTAAAGAAATAACGTTTTTTGCGTTTAAATTCCTGAAAAATACGATTGCACAAATATTTACCGAACGGCAATATAAACTCTTGAATGCCCGTTTGAAGAGCCAAAAGGGTTCGTTTTTTGTCACTTTATTGAAAATCACTCCAAACCACTTCCGTGGGGTTAGAATCGACAGAGAATTTCCCCATCTCTTGACCGGCTCGAGCAAAATTATGCGCCGAAAGAGGCCTTCCGTGATATCGGGGCACCGAGTATATATCCAGTTAGTTCAAGGGTATTATTAAAGTTAGAATTGAGTCGCAGCCCGAGGGGAAATCTCCTTTGAAATTTCCTTAAAGAGAATTCCTTATGAACGCGAATACTTATTTAATTGTTAAGTATCCGGTTATTTGCCGGAATTAACGGTGGAGTGTATTTCGAAGATGTGGGTGCTTTAAATATCGGGGAGAGGAAAATCGATATTTTTTAAAAGCATCTCGAGCATCACGAGTGCATCATTAACATCTCGAAGAGCTCTTTTGTGTACTTACATTTTAACGTTTTCGAAAATGTTCTTTTTCTGTACTTGTAAAAGGCACGCCTTTGAGAAATGTTTGATTCTTTGCGAGAAAAATTTTAATTAGATATCGATTGTAGGAATTTTTCTTGATATCCACAGAGCCGTGTTATTCATTTTTAAGCATTAGCATTCCCAGTACGTAAGTTACTTTCGAAAAGTAGTGCAGATATTTCCTCCATAACTTCTCCCGGAGTTTTTAAATTACAAGTAACCGGGCGCGTATTTATTGCCTTATAAACGAAAATTAGTTTTCGATATCTCGGATATATAGGAAAACTTTGGAGTAGCAATTTATAGCGTCTTATGATACGACTCTGTGAGTTAATGATGAAAAGCGACGTAAATTTCTGGGTTGTAAACTTTCCCAATACAAAATGGGTATCGCTTATTTCGGTCACACACAAACCCCGAGATCTTTTCCATCAATTACACTTAATCCTCCAATCGGAAACTTCTAAATCACCTTTACGGGCGGGAAGGATCTCGCCGAGCAGATTTTCGCGTTTTTCTTCCGCTATACGGCTTTTTAACCGCAATTTGGGTTTCTTTTTTCGGAAAGTTCAATCGTTAGAATTTTCTTCGCCGATGTGGAGTAGTTTTTATTGGACATTTTCGCATTAATTAATGGCGAGTGCAGGATATGTATTGTTGAATGAAATCGATAAGCATTTTAATTTTTATGAAATCGATAAGGAATACTTGTGTTATAGAAAATCAATTTTTTTCGATTTATTTCCACTTTAAAACGCAGTAATAGAGATAATAAACCTATCTTTATATAAATAACGTCGATACAATTCAATTTATTTAGTTTCAATGGGAGGTATTTTACAATGAATTTATGTGCTGGTAAGATTTAGATAATTTAGATTTAGATTAAGTCTTTCTACTATTTAATATTAAAATTTAAGTAATCATTTCTAATATTTTTTTCTCAAAGTTGCCTACTGTTAATTTGCTATGCTAATAACATACTTACATTTCCATTAGAGGGATTCCCATTTATAGTTGATAAAAAACTTTAACTTGATTGAAAATCATTTCGACATTTTGATGTAATTATGTATTTTTAGTGCTCTTTTGACGAATTACTTTTTCAGTCTATAAAATTTACCGGATGCTTGTTTTCGATCTATAAAACATTTATGATTTGTTTTGATGTTGAACTATAAACGAATTTGTGTCGCATCTCTCGATTGAAATCCATTACCGGAATCTCCTTTATTTTTTACAAGTTTCCCGTCCTTTTAAATCGCATTACAACAGAAAGGGGAGAAGGAAAAGAATCTGTCATTTCGTCTACAAAGGAAAACTTTCCGCTCTCTAACGGCTAGTTAGCAAACAAATCAAAGTTGTATTAGTTTCTAGAACGACGACGCGCGGCTTTTCTTTGTGAAAAAGAAACCCCCTATCGGATTTTCCTAACTTTCTACCCGGTACATCGTAAATTGCGCCGATGGTCAACCGGAATTTCCCACCAAAATCATTTGAAAATAACGGTTATTTTGTAACAGTCGTGACTGCGCCTCTATACCAAAGAAATAAATCCCACCTCTATTAAACTTCTGTCACGCGAAATGTCATTAATGTCAATTTTGATAGTTTTTGTTTATGTATCATCGAACGCATCTTAAGAGTCCCACTTTTTAGTGCAAACCACAGGTAATCAAATATTTGGTGCGGAATTTCGATATCAGATTAAAATTTAAGTACTTGATATACTTTTTTGTATTTCTACTAACAAAGTTTGTATGTCGTAAGTGCACTTACTGTAGTTGTATTTAAGGGATGCATTATAGGGTCACCCTTGAAGGGGTAATAAAAGGGTCCGGAGGAGCAACTCGTTCAATAAACGATTGATTTTTCATTAGAGGACGGTAAAGTATTGTCGTTTTTCTCGGTATCGGACAGTTAACGGTAACGCTACAGGACTCTAGGGTGTTTTACGAAAGTTTATTGCGAAGGGCGGTAGTATTAACTATCCTTAAACGTATCCGGGAAGCGTAAAATATATAGGTCGCTAGAAAAGTGTATAAAATAATTTCCCTAATTGCCCGATTCGATATCGCTTTTCTTCTCGCGCAACCGATTGATTTTATCGCCCCCCGTCAAATGTATACACAAAAGCGCGGCATATAAAATGTGCACATCCATAATTTAAAGTCGACAATGTAAATCTTCGGAAAAGCTCCTTAGCGAGGCCTCCGGACCCTTTTATTCCCCGTATTTACCGGTGCTTATGCAAAATTGAATCGGGATTAGCGCCGAAAAAGCCGGATGACTAATATCTCCCCGCGAACGAACGAACGCGAAAAGCGAACACAACTTTATCGACTGATTTAGCAAGAAATCTTCGAGTATTATCTTTTCGTTGCAGAATGGAACAGCGTCGCCGGACACGACAGAGTCACCAGGCAATTGTCGGTGTCGAGCGACAGCAAATTGCTGGACGACGACATCAGAGAGGAGACGAAGGTGATATTGAGGCCGAGGAAACCGCCGAGGCCCAAATCGGAGGTGTTGCTCAACCAAGGCGCCGATCACAGGCGAACGAAGAGGTACTCCGCGTTCGGGGTGAGTTGTTCGTTTTCTCTTAAATTCGCTTATACAGGTCGTACGAACTGATCCGCTGCAAGCATACAATGAGAATTATGAGATAGCTAATTGAACTTTTTCTATGTAAGGAATAAAGAGAGCATACGAAATAGTCACGCCCGCTAACCCCGCTATTCGCTAGTGGACGAAGCGAAGCGAATTGACGAATTCTAATATCGGCCGGCAACCGATAAACAAGTTTCTGTTCTTTACTCTCTTATAGTATTGATTGAGATTCTAATTCTAATGCTTGCAGCGGATCAGTTCGTACGACCTGTATATCTCTTCAATCGGGTCGATTCTGTTCGTAAATAGCAATATGGTTATTGACTATTTTGTAAAGATATTCGGGTCGATTCTGTTCGTAAATAGCAATATGGTTATTGGCTATTTTGTAAAGATATTGTTATCATAGCAATGCCCTAAAGAATAACCTATTCTGTTCGTTTAATTTAAACAATATGATCTGTCATTAGTAAAGATATCTTGTTATTAATCTTGCTATTTAGCTAACAGTTTACATTTTTTTGCAAATACGAGATACAAGTAACCCCTTTGATTTGCTAAATGAAAAATTTATAAAACATAAATAAGGCTACAGCTTTAAATTTAATTCAACAGTTGTTAGAAGTTCTAGTAGAACCATTCCGAAGAGATACATTACCTTTTCATCTACAAGTTGCGCTGGTTCAGAAATGTATGATAAAAATAATTACTCAAAATTTTTTAGGTTTTAATTTTTTTTAATTTTTTAACTATTACTATTACTATTACTTCCATTTGTTCCTTGCTTATTTTCTTTGTTAGTCCTTTCATCATTTTAAAAAAACCGCCTCTGCTTCAACCGCAGAAACACATGAAAGTCTGCCTTTATTGCCAATTGTAATCGTAAAATAATAAATTTTAGGGAGAATTCTTCTTTTTTCGGTTATATTCAGATAATTACAGTGTTGTCAGCTTTATTTTTCACTAATGACAGCATGTTTTTAGCAATATGGTTAAGCGTTAAAAATATAACCAACATTGCTAAACTAATCAAAACAGAATAAGAAAATTTTTGGAAATATTGTTATAACTTAAACATATAACAACATGGTTATCATAGCAATATTCATAACAAGATCCGAACAGAATCGACCTGAATATCGTAATCGTGGCTGAAGTATTGTGTGTTTTTTTTTAATGCGAAAGCTCGTTTCGTAACGAGAGAGGTTTTTTTTTGTTGGGGGAAAAACGCGAATTGAAAAGCGAGCCCGCGGGGTATTTTCTGTTGATTTGGTCTTTTTACGTTCATTTGTCCAGTTATGTCGCGATTCTAATGGTGAATGGCGTTAATTAAAGCGGGATGATTTGGAGAAATGTTACGTAAATAGATACGATTTTTTTAATGAATGTTGTGTTTTAATTACAGGGCGATTCTCCGTTCGGTAAATCGGAAGCTTACATTAAGTTAGAACAATTAGGTGAAGGTTCATATGCAACCGTGTACAAAGGATTTAGCAAGTAAGTGGATTTTGTGATTTTTGAAGTGGATTTATCGATAAAAATAAGGCGTTTTCGAATTTTATCTACGCATCGATAAATCCGTGCTTAGGTCTATAAAAATGAAGTCTCCTTTTTTTTATCGGCAATTTTACTGTGAAAAATCCGATATAAAACTTTTCTTTCGCGGTATTTTTCTTTCATATAATTTCGTGATATTTTTCCCCGTGCAAACGGGATCACTTCTAAATACCCTCACAGCGATTTATTACGGAATTTATTCTTCTTCTAACACATCTTGTTCGTTCCCAGAAATTTAACTGTCTTACGAATATTTTAGATAAAAAACGGAACGTCTTTTATTAAGGCGCCCGTTTCAGTATGTAGTAACGACATTAATCTGTTTACCGAAATCGTTCCCCTTCGAGTTATTTATTTATTATGTAATAAAAGAGATTTTTTGACCAATCCAGTTTTTACGATCGAATTTATTACCTACAAAACAAGTAGGAGAGTAGCAAAAACTTGATAAATAAAGTGTTATATACAGAGTGTTAATTAATTTTGCCGATACTTCAGGAGGTTAATATTTGGATGATTTTATGAAGAAGTATTTTTTTCTAACTTTTACTGTTTTTTTCTAACTGTAACTCCCTTTAACTCGAAAACTAAGAAGTTTAGGTCACATATGGATATACATTTTTCTTCTTAAAATCACCAAAATATTCACATCCTGAAGTATCGACACTCAATTAACTAACACCCTGTATAGAATTGGTATAACGCGAAATTAATATAAATTGATTTTTTTTTTCAGTTTACAAAACCAAGTCGTGGCGTTGAAGGAAATAATTCTTCAAGAGGAAGAAGGTGCTCCGTTCACCGCCATCCGCGAAGCTTCCCTACTCAAAGAACTGAAACACGCGAATATCGTCACTTTACATGACATCGTACATACCAGGCAGACGCTCACCTTCGTATTCGAATACGTGGTAAGCCCTTCGGAGTAGCTTCTTTACCTATCACGTACAAGGCCTCGGCCTTCAACCGATTAAGCTATTCGGTCTCATATCTCAACTGATTGGGTTATTTGGCGTTGGGTCTGTACTATTCGGTCATTTGTTTAGATGGTTATCATAGATTAATTAACAGAAATATCACTTTTTTAGATTTAGGTAAAGTCCCTAGATACTATAAGTAGCGCCTATCAATTAGGCCTATAAGATAAGATAGCTAGCAAAATCCCAAACATGCCTGTCGTTTGACTTTTTTTTTGACAGAAGTAAACATAACTCTTTCAAATCATCATCAAAAAGTATCTTTATAATCTATGTTTATTTGTTCAATTTCTATCACAAGTAAGTAATATCTGATGACTGATAATATACAATAAATAAATACAAAATAATCAATAAATCTCGATAACCTTAAAAATGTATTTTTCAGAGAATACTGAGAATACAGAACTTGGAACCTAAATTCTGTGTTCTGTGGTCTTTTTTTCTCAAATGGCAACTAAGTGTAACCAACATTAAAAATATTCCAAATAAAAACTCCAAAAAGTTATAGATTAGCTGAACTCTTCACTTTTATAAATTGTGCAACGTTAATTAACTTAAGCAAAGTTTAAAATTAAACGCTAGTTTAATTTAACTTTCATTTAGTTCGAGTTTCAATCAATCGAAATTCAATCAGCGTCGCGCTACATTTAAATCGCGGTTGTGTGAAACGACAGTTCAAACTGTCAAAACTTCAAAAATTATTATTTGACATTTCGAGAAGAAAATGGAAAAATGCATTAACCGAAGATTCGTGAGGCACGATGTTTATTTGTTCAATTTCTATCACAAGTAAGTAATATCTGATGACTGATAATATACAATAAATAAATACAAAATAATCAATAAATCTCGATAACCTTAAAAATGTATTTTTCAGAGAATACTGAGAATACAGAACTTGGAACCTAAATTCTGTGTTCTGTGGTCTTTTTTTCTCAAATGGCAACTTATGCCCGTATTCAGAGTCGTCCCTCAAGATAAGGGCTGAGGGTCACTCAGGTAAGGGACCCTTGGCACTCACACTCAACTTGAGTTTCATAAACCTCACTCAAGTAACCCTCAGCTGAGTACTCAATTTAAGTTGGTAACATAACGAAATTGATGCGATAACTTAAGATAATTATACAAAACGTGTTTGTACTCATGCGCCAAAGATAGCGCTCATATTTGAAACTGAAAATTTTAGGAATTAGGAAATTCCAAATCTCACACAGATGTTTTATTGCTATAACAACCCTATTATTTTTGTACCTAAACTAAACAACCATTTCTGTTGTAACTTCGAAGTTAAAACAACCGATTTAGAAATTATTTTTGATTCAACTTGTAACGAAAATAGTATAATAGAATGTAAAAAATTGTTCAAACTCTTCCATACTAACAAAAAAGTAGTAAAATAAAATAAGAACATTAATAATTTTGCAACTTTTGAATGATTTCATATAGGTACTTTCTCCTTATTACTTTGTAATATAACTTCAAGAACAAACAAATATTGTCAACTGTAAGAACTACTTTATTTTCATGAAATTTACGTGAAAATTCTATTAATATGCTACTAAACATAGACGTATTGGGAAATGTCAATGTCAATAGTGTCAAATTTTTAATTTTGCGATTAAAATCATCCCTCAAGGGACCTATCAACCACACTTAAGTTGAGGGTCCGTTTGGGTCACTCACACTCAGTGAGTGAGGTCTCTGAAACGGATAAGCTCACTCACACTCACCCTTGAGGGCCCACTCACACTTAAGGGACGTCTCTGAATACGGGCATAAGTGTAACCAACATTAAAAATATTCCAAATAAAAACTCCAAAAAGTTATAGATTAGCTGAACTCTTCACTTTTATAAATTGTGCAACGTTAATTAACTTAAGCAAAGTTTAAAATTAAACGCTAGTTTAATTTAACTTTCATTTAGTTCGAGTTTCAATCAATCGAAATTCAATCAGCGTCGCGCTACATTTAAATCGCGGTTGTGTGAAACGACAGTTCAAACTGTCAAAACTTCAAAAATTATTATTTGACATTTCGAGAAGAAAATGGAAAAATGCATTAACCGAAGATTCGTGAGGCACGATGTTAACAACAAAATCATCGCTGATTTAAGTATATTTTATATTTTGTATACATTTTTAGTTTGAATCAAACCAATTCTATATAATTCGTACCTAAAAAACTGTGGTCCTTTACAACATCGCCTCATAGTGGCCGTTTTAGGAATCCTGTTTTATCTTTTTTCTTTTGAATCGCTTATCCGAGATATCAATATGGCGGATGTATTTAATTAACAATATTAATCAGCGAATAACTTATATCATCCGATACATATTTAGTTTTGTAGTTTAATTGAAAAATGTTATTAATAACATCAATCTTCAAGTTTTTATAGTCGAATTTTCGTTGATATACCCCGATGCGAGTTTTGTCAACAAACGAATCGGAGACCTGTTACCGTTAAAACCTTAACAATCTGTGATTTCGCACCGAGACCGAATAGCCTATACTAGTAAAGGCCCGATAGCTGTCATTTTAAAACGTCATAATCTAATATTTTTTGTGACATCCACGGCCAACTTTTCTTATGAATCGCTTATCCGAGAAATTGATATGGCGGATGTAATTTATGAAGAATATTAATCAGCGAATAACTTTACCATCCGATACGTATTTAGTAGTTTAATTGAAAAATGTTATTAACAACATCCATCTTCAAGTTTTTATAGTCGAATTTTTCGTTGATATACCCCGATATAAGTTTTGCCAGGTAAAAACTTTGCCAGTTAGTAGGTTACATTTCCCGTTGAATTCCAGCACACGGACCTATCGCAATACCTGGAACGCAATCCGGGCGGCCTCGACACGCGCAACGTCCAACTGTTCCTGTTCCAATTGCTGCGCGGCCTGTCCTACTGCCACAAGCGGCGCGTCCTGCACCGCGACGTCAAGCCGCAGAATCTGCTGATCAGCGAAATCGGCGAATTGAAATTGGCCGATTTCGGTTTGGCGCGCGCCAAATCGGTGCCGAGCCACACCTATTCGCACGAAGTGGTGACCCTTTGGTACCGACCTCCCGACGTTCTGCTCGGCAGCACCGATTACTCGACGTCGTTGGACATGTGGGGCGTCGGTTGTATACTCGTCGAAATGATCACCGGCACGGCGCTCTTTCCCGGCGTTCGGGACACCTACGATCAACTAGATAAAATTTTTAGGGTGAGTCCTAGTTCGCTATTTTACTCTATAGACGGCTCGGGTTAAGATCGCAGCGCCATGGTGGTGACAGCTGAAAGCTAGCTAAGTACAATTAAACTGTTGTTTGCGTTTGTGGTGTATAATAAAATCGGTCTTTTTTAGATATTTTTTAAGTAAAATTGGTATTTTTATAGCAGATTTCGATTATTATTAGCGATTATTATTAGCGTCTTGTAGATAGTTAATAGTGTCAGGTTAGCGACCAAATAAATTGTAGAAACCATAACCCCTTTTAAAAAATATTTTTTATTTTTAGAAACAAAGCTAAACAAATTAAAAATTAAATAAATCAAATACATTTAGTAATGCTTCTGCTGCTTCTTGGTTCTCAAAATCTATATTAATTAATAAATTTCCTCCTGTTGATCCTCAATATTTATATCCATTGGTTCACAGGTTAGACCCACTTTTGTTGGGCACTTTTCTCGTTTTTTTCTCTGAATATGGTCCTGGGGATGTATCATTTAATCCTTGTGGCAGATTCTGGGACGGCTCAGCAAATGATTTTAATGTTCTACGTTTTACTTGAAAACTAAAAAGAGAAGAATGGAATAAAATGGATTTGAATCATAATACACTTACCTTTCTGTAAAAAAATCCCCCAAAAAATATGAGTAATTATTTTTATCATACATTTCTGAACTAGCGCAACTTGTAGATGAAAAGGTGTTGTAGCTCTTCGGAATGGTTCTTCTAGAACTTCTAACAACTGTTGAATTAAATTTAAAGCTGGAGCCTTATTTAAGTTTTATAAATTTTTTATTTAGCAAATCAGATGAGTTGCTTGTATCTCGTATTTGCAAAAAACTGTAAATTCTTAGTTCATATAGTAAAGAAAAAAGATCGGATTAGCCATATTGCTATTAAATAGCAAGTACAAAAATGACATTGTTCAAATAGCAAGATTTATAACAAGATACCTTTACTAATGACAGAGATCATATTGTTTAAATTACACCAACAGAATATGTTATTTCTTAGGACATTGCTAACATAACAATATCTTCACAAAATAACCAATAACCATATTGCTATTTGCAAACAGAATCGACCCCAATGGCTCTTAACTCGGTTCTTAGACTATCCACCAGAGGGACGTATCGCTTAGCACGAATCGTCTATTGTATTCTTATTTTTGTTGTGTTGTTTTTGCAGGTTTTGGGTACACCGACGGAAGAAGACTGGCCCGGCGTTAGTCAATTGCCGGGATACTATAAGATACAGAAGATCACGCAGAACAAGCCGTTGCGCGGTTTGGGTTTCTACTCGTCGGCGATACTGAGAACAGTCCACGCCGAATCGATGGTCACCGGATTGTTGCAGTTGAATCCCCAGAAGCGCCTCGACGCCGACGAAGCGATGAACCATCCGTTTTTCGACGCGCTACCGAAGAAGCTGCACGAGTTGCCCGATGGTAATCCATTGTGTCTTTTACCTAATTAGTTATAATACGAGTTTTTTATTGTAGACTGTTCGATATTCACGGTGGAAGGTGTTCACCTGTATCCGGAGAGGTATTCGTCGGTTAAATGAGGCCGGTCTTGACTAAACCTTCGAAGGAAATGTCGTCTGTAAAGCGGTGAAGGAGACGAGCGAATAAATGAAACGATATCATCGTTTTGCACTGGCTATAGCAATGTATTTTTTTAACTGTCTACGTAAGTTTAGTAATTTTTTAGGTTTAACTTCGATAACGACCGAGCATTTTAATTGATTTATGTGGTTTTTTTTTGTGATTTTTAAGACTGTATTGTATTAGTTTTTTTGTAACGAGAACGGTTAGTGCGAAGATAGGGGAGGATTCAACGAATAATTGCGATTTATCCAGCCGTTCTCCGAAGATCTTCGCGCGACTGAGAATGTGTCAGAATCGAATGAAACCGGAATCCTTTTTTTTTTCTCTCTCAGCGTTATCGTACACTGTAAAAAATTGGCGTGTGTGTGTGTGTATAGCGAAAATACGATTCTCCTTACTTCAATTTCGAGTAGTTTGCGATTTAAAAAAAATAGTAAATTCAACGGGTTCTCTTTTTTTTTAGAAAGTTTCGTATCGTGGAAAAACGCATTATATTTTTAATTTAAAAAGTATCAATTATCCGCGTAATAATTCAATTAATCACAATCAGGAATTACTCAATATAAAGACAGGGTGTTTGTAACTTGTAACGGAAGTTTAATTGTGTATAAATAAGATAAACAAAATAAAATAGGATTATGAATCTTGTTGTGATATGTAATGTAAGTGTTGATTCTGGCAATTTTTAAAACGTAAGTTTCTCGCCTTTCGGACGAGGCGCAAACTAAAAAAAAATATATTTAATTTGAACGTTGGTATATGTAGTTTCTCGAAACCAGAGAAATATACAGTAGTATCATGCAACAAGTAATTACAGTAATTTATATACTATTAGATATTATTATTTTGTCGCCGTTTCGATTGGTAATCGAACGGTAGTAAATTTATCGTCTCTGGATTTGAGAATTCGAAAATGATCTTTGATACTTTTATAATCGACAATGATGAAAAAAAACGCGCAATGTGAAAATCGTATAATCATTCCTTCCATGGTGCTCAATTACTACAAATTAGTTCGCCGGATGAAATAATAAAAGCTTCTTTGCGAAAAATGAAATTGTTCCCAAGCTGAGATTGCCGTTGCCTTGCCTGGCGCATTAACATTTAAAGTGATTTTTTAGGCATATTAATTTGGAAATTTTTTCGAAATTTAGAGAGCTTTGCTATTAACAAATCATATTATTCCGTTTTTGCTAAAGACTGCTAAAAATAAACGTTCCTTCGGTTTTCTTGCAGTGGTAGATGTCCCGATTTTACAGCTCACTCTCAGATTTATTCTTGTAAATAGTGTATAGAAACGTTTCGTTGTTGAAAAATTAACATCCACTTAGTTGGTTTCGGCGTTTCTTTTTTAGGATTTTTTAGTTGTAATTCCGTTTTCTTAGAGCGAAAAACGTACTGTTAATAGCGAAATTGTAATTTATATAAAACAAAAATAGGAGATAAAAGTTTGTTTAGAAATTCGAAATCTTACTATATTTTATTCGGTGGGTTGTTTAGGTAAAAATATTTAGATTAATCGAGTTATTTACTTACCAAGACGTCTTCACTGCTTCTAGTCTTTTAGACTAGTTAGTTATTCTTCATCGAATGAAGCGTAGTGGATTTCAATTACTTTTGTACATTTTTATAAATTTTACTTATTTAGATTTGATGAACAGATGAGAAAACGTTTTCAATCTCATTACTAGCGCATTGTTAATTTTATTGCTCATCAAAAAGTCAAGCATTTCATTGATTTATCTCGTCTGTTTCATTGATGCGTAGCATTCGAGGATTTTTATGGTAGCCATATTGTAAAAATTGTACCCATCTAGTTTATGATCCAAAAAAAAAATATTACAAGTGATAAAAATGAGAGAATTAGAAAATGAAAGAAACCTGAGAACGACGTAGGAAACTCTCTTAAGTGCCAAAGGGCAATAGCGTTAAGCGATTAGCTCTAGTTTGTGATTGTACAGGGAAACATCGATTAATAATAATCGCTGTAATTTAGGCGTTGGTTGATGGTTCGTTGTATAATTCTTTTTTAATTTTGTATATGAATAATTTTTTTAACAAAAGGGTGATTTACTTATATAATGTGTTCCGTAATTAAATCGCCCTGTATATATCGTTGGTTTCGCAAATGAATTGTAACGCTTGTTTGAGATTTTTCAGTGTGTGCGTTTTTTTCGTTTGCGAAACGAACCACCTTTTTCGACAACAGCAAAAGTGAAATTTAGGCCTAAAATGAACGGAGCTTTTTCTATATGTTGCACGAACGGAGAAGCTTCGAATGAGTAATAGTCGAAGCGATTTTTTTTTCTAAATTAGTGTTAGAAAAACGCTAAATTCGGCACTAAGTTTTTGCGGCAAATGCACCCCTCCAATTTTCGTCCATGCACGTCGCTCGATAATTACCCGGGCGTTGTGCTATATATTTTACTAAAAAGCGTTTAAACTATTTTTCACATCCAAAGCTGTACGTGCACGCTTTAGCGCACATTTGGGTTCCATTTTAACAAAAAAAAAAACGGTAAATCCATACCTGCCGCTGTCTGGTCGAGATGTAACATCGAAACTTTTATTTTATTAACTTTGCTATTCTAATCTAAATACCCTGGGTGCTAGAAAGGGAATAACACCAATTTAAATTAAGAAATATAAAGGTTTCCTTGTTATAATTTTTTGCGACAGACAGGTAATATAATATGTGTTGTGCAAAATGGTGTGAAGAGACTCTCTGTCCGAGTCGAATTGTTATATTTTGGTTTGTTGACGATGTATTTATAGAGGTGGTAAAAATGTTATGATATGAATCTGCGAAAATGGTGTACGTAAACATAATAATATCGTTACACTGTAAATAGAAATAGTTGTTTATATTATAAGAATATCGAAAAAAATATTGATAAATGTCTTTGTATAAATAATTATCGGTTTTGTCTTTTTTTTTCCAGGTTTCCAGGATATTTCTTTTCCTTTCTCCTCTCTTCTTCTTCTTCTCCTCCATACTTTATACCGTCTTGCCATAGAAATCCAGTCGAAGTCCTCCTTGAATTTCCTATGAACCTGTGGAATTTTTGGGAGTTGATAAATCTTTTGGGAATTATGAACTCCCTTGAATCCTATTGGTTCTAAAGAAAGTTATTGAGGAGTAATACTTTATTAAATACTATATTTACAAAAAATTATAATGATGGTTCCTATAAAATTCTGTTAACATATGGCTTTTTTTTAATAAAAATAAAGAAAAAAAAGAATACAATGTAGACATATTTGACGTGACTGAATATCTGGATGGACAATATTTATGTTATGAATTTATGCAGGTATAAAGTACATGTAGTACCGTGAAAGTTTCACGAGTGTAACTCATGAAGAGAGTGTAAAACATAAATTCATAACATACGTAAATAATTATTATTTCTCGAATACATACTATCACAATAACACACATACACATCTAACTAATCTCATAAAAAACCCTGTATGCAGAATAACCTCAATTTTCAAAATGAACTTATATAAATAAGTATTTTCATTGCATCAGAATAAAAGCACGCAAATAATAATAAAATATGTGATAAATTGAAAAAAAAACTAGGCAATTAGAGATTTTTTGCATACTTTGAACCACCTGCAATTTCACCTTCGACGATCTAAAGATGAAACTACAAGATTTATCATGCAGAATTTGCAACAAAAGAAAAATAATGATAACAAATAGAATATGTATAACCAATTTATCAATTATAATCCATCTGCATGACTATTAATATAAAATAATAAAACATACATGCATAGACGGAAACGCACACACATGTTTACAATAGAAGTTGCTCTACTCATATACGACATGAACGCGAAAATAATATTTTTACCGTTTGGTCCACGTCCAATAAATTCTCATTATATTTTTTGTGTAAAACGAGTTTCGAAGTACAAAAAGTCGTATAAAAAGTTAAAATTCTGGAATAGGACATTTTGCTTCTAAACCTTTTTGTACTATCCCCCTACTAAGTCGTACTTATACGTGGCTCAGTTTAGAAAATCTACGAAAATACACGAATCGTTTGAACGAATTGTTTGGTTTTACAAAGCGATAAGTATACAGTCTTTTTGCGATTCGTCTTACTTTTTAGTTTTTTATTACTATTTTAGAAGAAACTTAACATGTCTAATTCCGTTTGATAGATACTTATGTAAGCAGCATGAACAATATCAAGTTTCTAAATGATTGTAAATTTCGATTAGTTATTGTCACAGTTACGTAGATTTTCCGTGTGAAATATTAATAAAGTAATGATAAAAAATCTTTTAACCAACTATTGTAGTTTATTTTTAATTAAATTAAATTTAATTATCTACCAAATGGAAGTTGCAAGACATAATTATTTACAAAAATAAAAAACAAAACGTAAATTTCCACACAAGTGTAAAATACAATAACAATAGTAAAAATCGTACGCAATGCGGAAAACTGGTCGTAAAAAGTGAATGTCGTAATTTTTTTCAATCGTGATGCTTATACGCCTTTATTCAAGACTAGATGATGATTTTTTGGATAATCTTGAAGCGATTGATTTCCTCACAGTCAGTTTAACAAAAATAACCATCCAGTCAAACATTATGTATTAATAATTTCACTATTAAGTGACTAGTCAAGATTATGTTTCAATAAAAATATCACAAAGTACTGCTTTTGTCTCTGTTTCTAGCCAACCAGATTTTTGTCTTTCTATTTTTTTATTTTTTTACAACATACTGTCTTAAGCACAATATTCCTTAAGAGTCGAAAATCCCGTCGAAGGAAGATTAGAGGATATTATACGAAGTGCGACATTTATAAAACTAAATGAGATCTACCAGTAACACTTCGAACGTTAAAAAATAAACATATAAAAATATATATACACGATTTCCCAATCGGACGGAGTTCCGATTTCGAAACCGCTTCGAACTCGAGAAAAGTAAAAATACAAAAAAAATATTCAAAGTAAAAACCTTTTAATCCGGCACTTCTCTGTAAGGAACTTCGGACGTGACGTTGAACCCTTCGAAGTAATGCGTCAGAAACTCGAACGTCGGCCGTTTCTCCGGATTCGCGTCCCAGCAATTCAACATTATCTGATAGATCTCGTCGGGTACCTGGTGCGTCGTCGGCTTCGGCATCCTGTAGCCCTTTTCGACGAGATCCACCACCTCCCTGCCGGGCATCGCCGGATAAGGCACCTGCCCGTACGTGAACAGCTCCATTAGAAGGATGCCATACGACCAAACGTCCGATTTGATCGAGAACTTGCCGTAGATGATCGCTTCGGGCGCCGTCCACTTCACCGGGAACCTCGAGCCCTGCTTCGGACAGTACTCGTTGTCTTCGATCACCCTCGCTAAACCGAAATCGCAGATTTTCGCGATGTTGTTCTCGCCTATCAGCACGTTCCTCGCCGCTAAATCCCTACAAAACAATCCGTTATATTAATACACCTCGACTTATCGCGTTATACAAACCTGTGTATGAGTTGCTTAGATTCCAAATACTCCATGCCGGAGGCCACTTGGAAAGCGATGTAAATCAAATCTTCGAACACCAAATGCTTGCCGTCGTCCTTGCGCAGGAAATCGAGCAGGCTGCCTTTGCTCATGTACTCCTGCACGATGTAGATCGGCTCCTGTTCGCTGCACACCCCGTACAAAGCGACCAGCTTCTTGTGGCGGAACTTCTTCATGATGGCCGCCTCCTCGAGGAAGGCGGCCGTCGACATGGTGCCCTCGCGCAACGTTTTAACGGCCACTTCGATGTTGTTCTTCCATTTGCCGTAGTAGACTTCGCCGAAGTTGCCGCGGCCCAATCGCCTGATCAGGATCAATTCGTCCCTGTTGATCTCCCATTTGTCCCGGTAGGTGGGGCCCAGGTCCCACATGGGCGGCTGCGGTTTCTTGCACGGCTTCGCCAACACGTGGCACAGACCGTATGCATTTTCTATTTAAAAAAAACGAATACTAGTTAATTACTCTGATTTTCTTAAATATACTGAGTGACAAAAGTAAAAGAACACCAAGAAGCAAATTTTATTTTTCATTCAAACTGTAGAGAGTGTGTACAGCACCACGATGGTGCAACACATTAATTTTTTTTTTAAGTTTTGTTGTTAATTTGATGAATTAATTTCAATCATTTGTTTATTTTTCTCTTATACATGTAACTAGAATAAATGGTTAAATTTCAACAACTATTTTTTGGTGTTCTTTTACTTTTGTCACTCAGTATATACAGTGTGTCCACGGATGTGGTTGCCTATAGAAGAAAAATTTTTATTATTCATTTTACGACAAAAAGTCATTGTTTATAAAAATTTTTGCTTCTTTTAAAAATGAGAATAACACTGAAAAATCTTAGATCGGATCTACAGGGTGTTGCCAAATTATGAAAACATGAAAATACCTCAAGAGGGAAGTACCATTATTTTTTATTTTACACAAATTTTTTATGAAAGAAAGTTGTTTATAATCTAAAATAAAGCCTGAATACAAATTTGCAAACTTAAATTCAAATTTTGTGTGTCCCTAGATAAAGTTGACCAGATAAGAAAAATGGTTATTATTAATTTTACGACGAAAAGCCATTCTTTATAAAAAAATTAACTTGTCGAGAAAATGAAATTCACATATCAAAACATTAAATAAGACGTATAGGGTGTTAGTAAATTAAGAAACAGGAAAAAATGTCAAGAAAGAACGAAAGAATTTTTATTATCTTACATAAAGAAAGAATTTATTTATTATCTTACATTATTATTTACAAAAAATGCTTTTAATCTCTCTTTTAATGCTCTTTTTTTAATAAAGAATTACTTTTTTTCGTAAAATTAATAATCATTTTCTCCTCTGGTCAACTCCATCCGTGGACACACAAAATTGGAATTTTAATTTAAAAATTTGTGTTCAGGCTTTATTTTAGATTATAAACAAATTTCTTTCATAAAAATTTTGTGTAAAATAAAAAATAATGGTACTTCCCTCTTGAGTTATTTTCATGTTTTCTTAATTTGGCAACACCCTGTAGATCCAATCTAAGATTTTTCAGTGTTATTCTCATTTTTAAAAGAAGCAAAAATTTTTATAAACAATGACTTTTTGTCGTAAAATGAATAATAAAAATTTTTCTCCTATAGGCAACCCCATCCGTGGACACACTGTATAATGAAGTAGGAGAGATTAAAAATAGGAGATATCATTGCTTGGAGTCTCTACATTAAGTATAAGAAAGTTTCAAATCAATCGATGAAGCCAAATTTGAATCTTACCGGAATTACAGAACCTATGTTTTCCCATTTAAAAATACCCTAAAGTGGCGCCCTTAAGATTGCAATATGTTCAAAAAAGGCTATTTTATCTACGATCCATTTTAACTTAGATAACAACTGGCAACGTAGCAATATTGTTGAAAAACTTGAAAAGAAGTAGACGATTGACATTTCAAGTATCAATTTAGATACATTACTAATTCTTAATTTGACAACACTTTACAATAAAATACTTACTGGTATAAGCGTTCACTAAATCGCACAGTTTGTCGAAGGTCTTGTTGGTGGATATATAAAATCCTCCGTTATCTAACGGCTTGATCTTGTAGTGTTTGACGTGATAACCCCTGTACTCTTCCCAATCTTTCACCGATAGCGAATAACCGTTGGGGTTGTGCTCCGACGGACGGACTAGAAAAGTGCCCCGGGGATTGTCCTCGGACAAAAGGAGCTTTTCCGCTTCTTTTCTAGATATGTTCTCGAAGAACCAACTGCAACGACGATAATTCGTTAAAAAAAATTGCCAGTACTTCACGAAATAATATCGTTATGGATGCGCGAATAAATGTAATTCGAATTAAAGTAAAAACAAGTATTGTTCTCTCCAAAACCTCCAACGGGAGGAAGCACAGTCGATAACGAATTCCCTTTTATTCGCTACATTTTAACGACGAATAATCATTCCTCAATCGTTCCTATTTCTTTTCTACTTGTCAACAAACGAACCAAAAGAAGTAGGAACGATTAAATATACGATTATAAAGGGTGTTCCTAAACATCATGTACAGGGTGGCCAAATAAGGATGGCTCTCGGCCATATCTCGCAAACTAATTGTCATAGAGACTTGCGGTAAAAAATCCTATGACTAAATCGGCAAAAAGAAAATGCTGGAAATAACTTTCAGGTCTCTAAAATGGCCGCTAGGGGGAGTATTCGCCATCTTGATTTTAAAAAGTCATTTTTTTCAAAATTTTCCTAAATAAAGGTATCAAAAATGTGTTTTATTTTGATAGTTAAGTTAATTTCGATTATTTTTGGTAATATATTTTTGACTCTATCTTTTAAAATAAAGTGGTGGGGGTGGTTTGAATATTTTGACAAATAAATGTTAATAACTTTTAAATGGCTGAACCGATTTTCAAAAAAATGAAATTGTTGAAAAGGGCTTTCTTTGGTCTATAATTTACGCTATATAAGATATTATTTTAATTGCTTGCTTTGCCGCAAGATGGCGTTTTTCGACATTACTTCAAACAACACCGATTTTCTCAAAAAATTTAAATGCAACGATATAACTTTTTCTTTGGAGAAAAATAGTCAAATAATTACCAAACAAGCCTGTGAAAACCGAATCTCGATATCTCCTTCCTAACCTAAAATATATCTGAAAATAGAAAAAATCAAGAAAATGCGTATATTTTTGGTGCACTACCAGTATAAAAATCTCTAATTAGCGTTGTTCCATCCACAAAAATTATCAATTTATTAATAATCTTCAAGTATGATATTTAGAAACACCAAGCTAAGTAATATTCATTCAATAATTATTGGATTTCCCTTCTATTCGCACTAGTTGAGAACAAACGAAAAAACCATGCCGTGGAAAATAAAAAAAAACAAAAAAATCTAACTAACTAGTCTACAAAAATGAGCTGGGCATTCATCGGGTTGGGAATACATATTTCTTTGAGTTTCCAGACGAACATCTACCAATAACCCAGGAAATTCGTTACGTAAATAATTTAGAAATATTTTTCCGTTGAGTCGCCCATAAATAAACCAGGGAACAACAACTTTCACCTTGTATACCACACCACACGTTGATACCAACGTCCTTAATTATTCTGGACCTTCTGCGTCCAGTTTTTTGGTTTTTTTATTTTCCGTGGCATGGTTATTTCGTTTGTTCTCAACTAGTGCGAATAAAAGGGAAATCCAATAATTATTAAATGAATATTACTTAGCTTGGTGTTTCTAAATATCATACTTGAAGATTATTAATAAATTGATAATTTTTGTGGATGGAACAACGCTAATTAGAGATTTTTATACTGGTAGTGCACCAAAAATATACGCATTTTCTTGATTTTTTCTATTTTCAGATATATTTTAGGTTAGGAAGGAGATATCGAGATTCGGTTTTCACAGGCTTGTTTGGTAATTATTTGACTATTTTTCTCCAAAGAAAAAGTTATATCGTTGCATTTAAATTTTTTGAGAAAATCGGTGTTGTTTGAAGTAATGTCGAAAAACGCCATCTTGCGGCAAAGCAAGCAATTAAAATAATATCTTATATAGCGTAAATTATAGACCAAAGAAAGCCCTTTTCATCAATTTCATTTTTTTGAAAATCGGTTCAGCCATTTAAAAGTTATTAACATTTATTTGTCAAAATGTTCAAACCACCCCCACCACTTTATTTTAAAAGATAGAGTCAAAAATATATTACCAAAAATAATCGAAATTAACTTAACTATCAAAATAAAACACATTTTTGATACCTTTATTTAGGAAAATTTTGAAAAAAATGACTTTTTAAAATCAAGATGGCAAATACTCCCCCTAGCGGCCATTTTAGAGACCTGAAAGTTATTTCCAGCATTTTCTTTTTGCCGATTTAGTCATAGGATTTTTTACCGCAAGTCTCTATGACAATTAGTTTGCGAGATATGGCCGAGAGCCATCCTTATTTGGCCACCCTGTACATCCGAAAGGGGATGATTCTTTGGCTTATTTTATATTATCGAAATGGACATTAAATTTTCTTAAATTCGTTCTGATTTATTAAAAAAATGTATAATTAAGTTAAAAAATTCATACGCCATAAATAATCCCTTTTTGTAACACTATCTAATTTGTTGTATTTTTATTTAAATAAAAGCTCCGACAATTAATTGTCAATTTTGATAATGCAAAAATCTCGTTATTAGGTAGAGCCTTTAAATTAATGCCATATTTTTATTAACGACAAAACAAAACATTAAAAAAACAAAAAATACCAAAAAAAAACAGAAAAAAATTCCGCACTTGCGGTTTGAACCTCAATCATTCACCTCGAAATTTTCAATTTATACAATTATACAACCCTTTATACAATTATTAGATAGCGATATAAAAATGACTTTTATGACGTATGACATTTTTTCAAATTAATTATACATTTTTTTATTAAACCAGAACGAATTTAAGAAAATTTAATGTCCATTTCGACATATTTTTTTATGATCTTTTCAAATCTGTTATTACTTTTTATGAACGTTATTTGGTAAAAAAGTTAGCTTGCTTTTGACACATTTGTACAGGAATCCCTATGTCACATCTTATCAATAACACAGTGTATACAGAGTGTTAACTCTAACGCGGAGCAATCTCGCTACGCGATAGCCAATACAAAATTCATTAGCGAAACAAAAACAGAATTAAAAATCGCTTGTTTCGATCGCGTATCGGTCGAGCCTCCCTTCCAGTCGCTACGTCGGGAGTGGCTGCTTCTAATATTCTCTCATTCTTAGACATACGTATATGCTCCATTACACCGTCTCTCTCAATTTTTGCTCCGCGCTAAAGTTAACAATCTGTATAGATTCTCCGGATAGAGCCATCCTTACTCTTCGCTTTCGACGCTCTGCTCGGCCGCCACGTAGTTACCCGGTATGTAGCCCCTTTCTTTGGTAACGAGGTGCACCACCTTCAGCCAATCGCCCTCCGAGTCGTCGACGACCTCCATGCGATCGCCCTTCTTGAACGACACGTCCTGGCTGTCTCTGGCCTCGTAGTTGTACATGGCCACCATGATGGGCCGCGACTTCGTCGGCGTCGGTCGATACCTCTCGTCGGGACGGCCGCCGACGCCGCCGCCGACGACGCCGCCGCCGCTCAACGGCGTTTGGTCTTTGGGAAAGTGGTTGTCGATGAACTGCGAATCGGGCGGGTTCCTTACTGCAAGAGAAGAATTGTTTTCATTCATTTATGTGCTGTATGTTTGTTATATAAAATAATCGCCTAGAGATGTTGATAAAAATTATTCAATTGCCGGATGCGATTTTTAACTGAGCAATTCCACGAAATCTCATTAATTCCGGCGAATTGTGTAGCGATTGTTAACGCCAACCTTCGTTGTATATAAGTATATGCTACAAAACATATCTAACGAATTCGAAATGAACTAAACGAAACGAAAAAAAAATAGCATTGAAGATAGTGTGAGAACCCGCCTGTTAAGCAGCTGTTACAATGAAGACATCAAAAAACGTTTGAAGTGAAAAAAGCCCGAGAACTTCCTTCTTCCACAATTCTTTAATTTAAAACAGATTAAAAAAACTTGTACTATTCCACATTAAATTTGCTTACAACTCAATTAACCTTCTTTAAATTATCCCCTTATTTCCATTTCTAATGATTATCTAACAAACAACTATTTAAAGTTACTATTAGTATAAGCTCTTGGAGCGTCATTTGTGACCTGGTGCTTAAGACCCCTTCGAAGATGACGTCCATCAACTCAACATTTTTAATGCTTAGAACGTTTAAAAAACACTGAATTTATGGAATTCATCTTCAAAGAGCCCCAGGTCGATTTCCGTATCCCAGAATCATCCTTCTCTTACCGAATAAATTTCATAAGAATACAGTCGAAATATAGCGAATATTTACTTATGTCAGGTTTGATATCGTGCTTGGCCTGCGGCGAGGATCGGCCGCCGCAGCAGCAACAGTTGCCCATGGCGAAGATCTCGTCGCCGTCGTCGGGTTCTTCTAGTCGTGGTTTTTCAGCCGTCGAGGTCACTCGCAGCTGTTGAATCCGGTGCTCGGCCTTTGCATACGATGCCGGACGACCAGCGAGTTCATCTGAAACGAACGGACCATTTAAAAAAAAAGATCGCCCGCTATATTAATGCGTACGTGTAGTAGATTGTTAAGGTTCTAACGGTAACGGGTCTCGGATTCGTTTGTTGACAAAACTTGTATATCAACGAAAAATTCGATTATAAAAACTTGAAGATGGATGTTGTTAATAACATTATTCAATTAAACTACTAAATACGTATCGGATGGTAAAGTAATTCGCTGATTAATATTCTTCATAAAGTACATCCGCCATATTGATTTCTCGGATAAGCGATTCATAAGAAAAGTTGGCCGTGGATGTTACAAAAAATATTAGATTATGACGTTTTAAAATGACAGCTATCGGGCCTCTACTAGTATAGGCTATTCGGTCTCGGATTCGTTTGTTGACAAAACTTATGTATCAACGAAAATTCGACTATAAAAACTTGAAGATAGATGTAATTATTAACATTTTTCAATTAAACTACTAAATACGTATCGGATGGTAAAGTTATTCGCTGATTAATATTCTTCATTAAATACATCCGCCATATTGATATTTCGGATAAGCGATTCATAAGAAAAGTTTGCCGTGGATGTCACAAAATAATATTAGATTATGACGTTTTAAAATGACAGCTATCGGGCCTCTACTAGTATAGGCTATTCGGTCTCGGTGCGAAATCACTTGGAAATGCATTAGGCGTATACTGATAGTGTGTTCACAGGAAACGCACGTACGGCCTTAAGGACATGATAAAATTCTGTTGCGAGTAGAGTGGAAAAAAAGCCTCGTTATGTAAAGTTCAAAATTACTCTAAACACTTGTATTGTCGAGTAAGCGTAACCGTAATGCTTCGAGAACTTTCGACAATTTGCTTTTATATATAAAAAAACATTCTTGAAAACTAACAGTACCCCTCAATCACTGTTTATGCGTAAGCTCGAATATTTAGATATCATTTAAATACAAAAAAAAACATCTTCAACTTCTCGGTAAAGGTAAAAACGGTAATTAAATCAAGGTCTGCAAATATTAATAAAAAAAAACCGATTTGATGCGTAACTAATTACACGTTAAAAATATACCTTCGTTATTATTTCGATTCATAATTTAACGTTGTACTTAAACTCAATAATGAATGGTTTAGCAACAATAATTACGTAATAATCAAATCGATTATCCGATATCTATAACGTTTTATGATATCAATACCGATTTTTAAACAAAGACTAGGATTCGCAGAAATCCTGTAAAACTCCGGCCTATAAGCGATTCTAACAATGCAAATATTATCTATAGTTAAATGACTCAGATTTCATTATTTCATTCAGGAAATGCAGTTAAATTAACTTACTTTAACAATGAAAACGTCGTGGTTCGTTTTATTTCGCTCTTATCGCGTCAATAAATAAAGAAAAAAACGACTTATTTTTAAAATAACACGTAGATAATAAAAAAATTGCATAATACTAATTCATTAAATTGTTATTTCTTTGCGTATCTTCTAAAAAGCATTTTCTCCTTATAGTATTATCTAAAACATTCTCATGTGCATAATTTGACGTAAGTATAATTAATTTTTTCTTGACGTGACATTTGAATGACAGCACCAGCCTACTACGTAAATAGAAAACTTATTAACAAAGCATAAAATATGGAAGGAACAAGGACGGTATATATATCGTGGATTATTTTATTATTTTGAAATTTGCTTCACATAAAATGTATTTTCTATTCACTAATATATTCCCGTTTTATTAAAAAGTTTCTAATTTGGCGTAAAATTTTATACGACATTTGGATGACAGAATAACAACCTACTAAATACAAGAAGACCGACCTATTTTTATATAGATATGCACTTAAAATAGGAGAAAAAAATTACATATGGGTAACATACTAAATACCTTCAAAATGCACATTTTCCTTTATAAAGTTTTATCATTTTTTCATTCAAACACCGCGAATGCAAGTGCATCATTTAACAGAAATAATTTGACACATAATTGACAGCTGACAACTAGCCACGGGCTACTATAAAAATGGAGAAAGAAACCAAACCGAACGAAACGAAACGCATATAAAACATGGAAAAAAAAATGCAAATTTCTAGTTCGAATACCAGATGAGATTTGACATTTCAAAACGACAACACGGCATGCGATATACCGCGCGGCATCGAAACCGGCGGAAAGGATTTAATTTTAATTGCCCGTTTATTCTAACTGTATACCAAACAACCAGTTTAGCCAGAGATAATGATTCCCAACAAAGCTCCGAGATTATGAATTGGCAGGCGTAGATATTCCCATGCCGTTTTCGAACCGTCTATCGTCTCTGAATTCCGCTTTTTTACCAGGATATTTCGCGGAAATTAGATTACAACACGCGCTAATTTATTTACTGGTTACATGAAAATATTATAAACTAATATATAATGTAAATAACTAACAAAAATGTGCTTTTTTAATATAGAAATAACGCGAGGATTACAATTTAAATATCTCCAAGCGAAATTACTGTAATTTACATCGCTTGTGCGAAAATAAAAACCAAACTCCGGGCGTATTTAATTTTAAATTAAACGATGTAACACGTAGGAAAAAAAAACGACTGAACGAGGTGTGCATATAAGATTATAAATCTCCGGGGGACATGATTTGAGTTATTTCGCTATATTTCTCGATTTATCAGCCGGATAAATGTTGAATTTAACTCCAAATAATGTCCTCGCGGTGCGTGCCAGATGTCACGAATAAATCAGTCGATTCTACGAGGTATACAATTCATTTCACAACAAAAACAACCGTAATTCTATAAGGACTATATTTCGGAGTTTCTAATTAATTCGTAGAAAAAAATCCATAGTGATTAATATTGTCTACTCACCAAATAAAATGTATTACTAACCCACTATCTGAATTTTTAATTGGTATAGTTGGTAGAAAAAAATGCTTATAAACATATAAATTCAATGTTGTTTCCGAACAATATCATTTTCGATAATGAAAGGCGATAACAATTATCTGAATCGGCAATAAAAGTATCTTCTATTTAGTTAGTTGAATTTCATTCGTCACGAAACGTTATAATTATTTCGCACATTTCCGATAGGCTTATTAATCTCATTCCAATAAAAAATTAAAACAAATTTATACAACATGTAGTATACGGGTGCAACAAAGACAACTTCATTTAGTCTCGTATTAAAGGAAGAAGATTGGTATTGTGGTATTGCAACTTCCTCACTCTAACCACTGTTATTTTAATAATCTTTCTTTGTTCAACTCGTACAATTGACCATATTGAAAACAAATTTGCTCATATACAAACAATTAATTAATGTATGATTTATACAGAAGGTTCATTAAATATTCCAAGACATTCCGCTACTACGATATAATTATATTTGCATAAATTGCGTTTCGTTAATTTCTCTCTGGCTTCTTCAAATTACCAGTTCTCGTCGGGAGTTTTTTAATAAGTAGGTATAGGTAAAGCTACTCGAAGTTTTCTCGTTTCCGAATTAATTAGTTCGCTATATTCGAAGAGTGACTGTAAAATTAGAAAATTCGGTACTGAAATAGTGTAATTTGGAACACGAGATTCTTTAGAAAAATACTTTCTATCATAAAAAAAAGCGATGTGATGGAAATTCACCGGTTTATTAAGAAACTAAATTGCTATTTCGAATTACGCTAATTACCTGGATATAAATTTCGTTTTCCATTACACAATGATATTACTAAATTTTGCTCATTATGCACTGAAAAAATTTTGGTACATAATATCAATGAACACCATGTTTTCAACTTGTTTTCATTAGCTCAATAAAATAATACATTAATCCAATAAATTTTCATTCATTAGTTAATGATTTCATTTATTAACTCAATGTTTCTTGTAACATTAATTATTAATGTAAAATTTCATTAACTCAATAACAATTTTTATTAATTCAATGAAATTTAATCATTAATATAATAACCTAGTACATTAAAAGCGAATATTTCAGTTAATGTATTCGATACATTAAATCAAAGTAACTTGTACATTAATATAACGAATTGTTCATTCTTTTAATGAAATTTAATTATTGAACCAAAAACATTAATACATTAGTTCGATAAACCACATTCGTCATTTTTTATGTTGCCCGTACATTGATTCAACAAATTGAGTACATAAATCCTATGTTCGAGTTCATTGAGCCAATGAACGCATATACATCATTAGTTCGATAAAACACATTCGGCATTTTTAATGTTGCCCGTACATTGATTCAACAAATCTAATACATAAATTCTATGTTCGAGTTCATTGAGACAATGAATGCATATACATTGGTTCGATAAACCACATTCGCAATTTTTTATGTAGCCCGTACATTGATTCAACAAACTGGATACGTAAATTCTTGTCTCGAGTTCATTGAGTTAATGAACGCTTTTCATTAAGTCAATGAATATCAGTTTGGATTTTGGCAATACACACTAGAGTGCAAATCTATGCCGTTCTATTCTATTAGAAAAAAAGAAATAGATAGAGACGCTTTCGAAAATCGCGTTGACCGTTAATTACCCCTCTTTCTCTCCTGTTATTTCGTGTTGAAGCGTTGAACTGGAAGTGTTCTGTTTAGTTAATTTCGTTTTCGTTTTGTATTATAAGAAGGAAGAAAATTCAAGCGCTGTTGTTTTAAGAGGTAAGCATTTTTTAATTCGGTACACTATAGGTTAATACTTATACATTTTATTTCTAGGATTTAATTTTAAACACAAACGTAAAGCCTAAGGGAGATATAAGTGCAACAACTTCAAGATTCATACAAAATGTGTGTAAGTTTTTATGGTTTTTACTACAACTCATTAAATTATTGGATATATTAAATTTTTAGGCCCCAAAGACATTTGTGAAACGTGCATAAGACCTCTGAAGTTTGAAAATTTATCATCGGAAGAGTTCGACGTATGCAGCATGTATTGGAACTTCGCTTGAGTGACATAAAAAACGCACA